TACAAGCACCCAATTACACAACAAATGGACACAAATTAATATATGTGAATATTTCGTGCATTTCAGCTGTTGGAATCGTTTGTATCCGTACCTGGTGTGACGCCGTACAATAATCTGAAAGTCATTTAACCCCGAAATAAATAAACCGTGTGTGGAAATTCCCCTTCTGACTTTTAAAACCTAATTCATTGTCATAATCTCTTCGAATTAAGTGATTAGAAATGCCCTTCCTATGCAGTAAATATGATTATTCCAGTTTGTCCACGAAATGGAATAAACATTCTGAATATTTATTCTGTTTTAATGAATCTCAGAAGAAAGACTCATAAAACGTTATATATGAAGGGCCAATAACGCTGATCATATTCTGCAGCTGACACGTTTCACATATTACGGACAGAAAGCCGAAAAGTCTTATTACTTTTGACAATCACGCGAAAGGTTATGATTATGTGGTACCTGATGAAATAGTAAGATTATAAGGAAAATATTTCGAATGTGTTCTTAATACCTGGACATCGTCTTAAAAATGATTTTGCCGTTGCTAACTTCAACAAAGTATGGTCATTTATCTGAACTATCAAAGGTAGTAATGGTAGTGATGCAGGTAGAGTAGTTAGATATTAGGAACATCAAAAGTGGCATCACTGTTCGTATGTTGTTCTGATTGCTGCTAGTAACAACAGTAACAGAAGCAGTAATGTTCGTAAAAGCAGCAACAGTAAAATGAATTCCAGCAATGGTAGTACCATTAGCAGAAAATCATTGACAAAAAAGAAAAAGAAAAAGAGTGATTGAGAGAATAAAACATGCAGAAGCGCAGACAACAGAAGGACGGGCTGCGTCGCGGGTCCAACTAGTTAAAAGTTTCCTTGCGGAAATTTCGTCCAAACAACAAGTCAGCTGGGGACCCGGCTTGCACGCAACCTCTGACCTTACACCTGTTAGCCGAGTGGGTTTCTCCATTCAACCATTTTAGGTCGCATTTCAGGTCAATCACGGGTGGACGGGACAGGTTGTATGAGACGTGGCGTGTATGATGGATGAGGTGTTGCAGACTTGCATAGTTGCAAAATAACCAAGATGATTTTCAACTACGATTCGACCTTCTGTCGTTGCTTTTCTTATTTGCGTTTATCTTCCTACTACATTTAGCCCGTAGCAGCATATCGTGCGATTCCAGTGTCCTCATCAAAGCTTCAGTAATGATTAGCAAGCAAGTCCAAGGAATAATAACAACAAAGAAGACAAGTTGATAAAGATAGACGAAACGCACATCAAACCAACAGCCGCATGTATATGCAACAGCGAATCGGAATGATTTTAAACACTAATGACAAACATAAGAAGACATTCCTCGGGGCAACCAGACGAACTTCATATGCAGCGGTACCCTGGGCGAGAGTGGAGGAAGTCGCCGAAAAATACATTTATATTCGGGTCAGCCGAGCGCGAATCCCGACTTGTGAGGTTTTAATCTGAGCGTCTGCACGGGGATGAATTCGGGAAGCGCCGTTGACGGCGCGTCACTCATTCCCGTGGTGGCAGCGCCCTTCGCACCGCAGGGGCTCCGACGTCGCTCTCTTCACGCGCTCGTTCCCTGCTCCAAGACAGCTTCTCCGGCTCGGCTTCTATTCCTTTATACCTTCTCGACTATCTCATTTACCCTTCTCTCCTACCCTCTTACCTTGTCTCTTCCTTCTTACCCTCTTTCTTTTCCCTATTGCCATCTCCCCTTTCCTTCTTTCCCTGTTTATCTTCTCACATAACATCTCTCCCTTTCCGCTTACCTTTTTTCCCTTCCCTCTCGCCCTTTCCCCCTTCTTTGAGAGCAAAGAACTGCAAATAGGCTCAGTCACTGTATTTTTACACGAATCACTATATTGTGCATTCCTTTCTCTAACATATATGATTTGGTTGTAGATGCTGTAACATATTTGCAAAAAGAAAAAAAATCCTCTTACCAGCCCGCCCTTAACCCTTTTACCTCCTTTCCCGTCCATCTTCCTCTTTCCCTTCCCTATTACCTTCTCCCTTCTCATTCCGTCTATACCGTCTTCCCAAATTCACGTTTGAACGGCGGATTCCAATGAGGAATCTGATCCGGAGTGAACGGAGATGGCGAGAGAACCTACAGCATAACTAAGCCATTTGAATGACAATATCCTCGTCAAACGGTCGTCTTTGTTGTGATTTAGTTTCCTCTTCCATTATAACACCCTCCCCTTCATTCCACATCTTCCGTCCTTCACAACATGACTTACAACCGCACCCTCAAGATCCTGTAGGAAATAAAAGCATCCGAAAGACCTAAAACAAGAATGTGAGAGACAGGGCGCTCGCACTTACCTGAAGCTCTGCTATCTGTCGTGTGGAGAACCTCTTGATGAAGGAGTCCTCTCGCTTGAGCGGTGGTTTGGTCCGGTTCATGGACGAGGAGAGGGCGCCCGAGAGCTGAACGGTGGTCCTGAGTTTCAGCCATCTTTGGTTTGATTTCATCCTAAGGTGGCAGAGGTGCAGTCGAGGCGAGGGCGGGGGAAAGGCGGAGGGGCAGACGGTGGGGCGATGGGGCATTGGGGTAAGGGGGTGGGCAAGGGATAGGGGCAAAAGGGGGGGAAATTTTGGGGGTAGTAGTAGTAGGGGAAGGGGGGGGGGAGAAAAAAAGACAAATGCATGAGAATCTGTTCGAACACAGCTCGACATTCTACTGGCAGACTTCGTTAGTGGACTGTTTTATTGTGGTTGATAAAAAGGGCTCTCTGAAGCTACGACATATTTAGCTTTAGGGTTATAAACATGACTGGAAAAAAGGAGAATGAAATACTATACTCAAAAATATTTCAAAGGGAGTCGAAGTCTGCCAGATTTGTGTACATTGCTATTTATACCCAAGGTACATTATATAAGCCTATGTAACTATACACTACACTATGGTTATACCAACACTACTGGCCGTACTGAGCTACTCATGTAATAGATTCTCATCGATTATTATGTACATTTAGCATATATTACAGCTAAACAGTAAATTATTCCACTTTTTTCTCTCTCCAAAATCTGTATGAAGCAAAAAGCCAACAGTATTCCGAAAAGGGTTTACACTCTAGACTTGGCTGGCTCTACTGGCAAAATGATATAGCCAAGGGAACTCCTCAAAAGTAGGACACTGTGGGCAACTAGAGTAGATGTCTACCATCATATTAGCCTATGTACACATTATACAAGCAATCATCAATTACTTAGTTACATAGTTTATTATCATTATGTTTATATTTTATTTTAACTGGAAGCGGGAATAAGGACACGAAATGAAGCAGATACCAAAAGCTGTTTTCCCAAAGGTGAGGAACATATTACTAAGTATAGCAGTGCAAATTAGAAAGTAATGGTTATTTAACAACAAGAGCAAAATTACCGAAAACATCCAGCTGTCAACATAACAACATAGAGATTGCAATTAACATCAACAAAAAGCACACAACGTGAACCAAAATACTTAAGTAATGAATTGTAGGGCTGCATTTAAATGTTGGGAGTGAAGGACCGGGGAACACATAATGCTATCAGTAATATCAAGATCGACACAAAATTGTTAAGGGATTCATAAAATGGATATTTTTTTTTTATAATAAAAAGACATTGGCACAGAAAAAGTGTAATATTCTTCCATAACATATCAAGTTCATTGTGAAATTGATATGAAGTAGTTGGTGTCCTTAATATTAAGAAAATATTTTAATGAAATGAAATCATGAATATAAAAAACAGACTAACGTACCATTCTTCCATATTCACATATCAGTCTTTATGCTCATGTTATCGCTAGTTTACTTTTCTCATATTTCTAATATTTTTAGTAAAAATTATTCTTGTGTTTAGTTGTCTTTTTCCGCAACACTTAATTACTTCTTCACATTTTTGTAGTTTATTGTTTTTTTCTAGTCTTTCTGTAGGTGGTTGCAATAAATTAAATAAACTGCATAGTTGCTTCACACAATCTATTTTCTAAATTTTTCAAACTCGTGAGGGACAGCATGACTATAAATCAACAATCGCGTAACATTTTTGAATCGCATTGCTCCGAGTGAACGAAATTAGGAACAGCAACGGATACGCAATGGATTACCGCCCTCCGCCGGTTTGGAGTTTGGTGTTATGTGGAGAACTGCAGCCGTCGCGTTTTTTTTTATTTAAAACCGCAAAAAACTTATAGCTTTCGAAAGGCAGATTAAAAATGTGGCAAAAGAGGATTATATACCAAATACATTTGAAATGTGTAAGCTACCGATATAGGAAAGCCTTTATGGTCAGCTATTACACTCCAATTATAGAGTGTGGCTGTAGGGCAATAGGAATTATATGTGTGTGTGTGTGTGTATGTGTGTGTGTGTGTGTGTGTACACGTATAATGTGAGTGTGTGTGTATGTGTTATAATACAAATTATTTATATATATATATATATCATATTATATATATATATATATATATATATATATATAGTATAAATTAATAATATATACAACACACACACACACACACACACACACACACACAGAACATATAATATAGAATATTATATATATATATATATATATATAGTATATATATACTTTATATATATAATATACATATATATATATGTATATATATAATATATGTATACATATATATTATATATGTATATAATATATATTATATATATATATATATATATATATATATATATAATATATCATAGTATGTGTGTGTGTGTGTGTGTGTGTGTGTGTGTGTGTTGTGTGTGTGTGCGTGTGTGTTGGATTATATGCACGCACACACACACGCACGCACATGTATATGGTATAAATAATATGTATATAATTATACATATATATACACATATATCTATATATCTATATAAACATGTATATGTATACATTATTAAACCTTTCCAAAAAGGCTGTTAAAACATCTACGGATATTCAGCCCTGTATGGTGAGGGTCGAAGCGCCACGACATTGATATTTATTCCACTTGACATAATTTTTCTCTAAAGATCACGAAAAAAGTCAACGGAGTGAAAAGCGGATTCTATTTTGTAAACTTGTCAGTCTTCCGATTGACTCAGGCGAGCGGACCAATAGGAACGCCCGTATGGTTCTCTCCGGCTCATAATAACATTATGTGCGAAACAACCCATTTCCCTGATGCATTTCGACCAAAGGGAACACATTACTGGCTAATAAAGAGATTTCACTTTCTATTTATAGTTCTTCGTCTTTCGGAGTTATGCCTGGATTCCTGAAATGGCGTAAATATTGTAGTGTATTTAATTTGGTAAGACTTTGGCTTTTTCGACTGTTGCTTTTATTAATAATTTGATAATTTTCCTACTATGCTAGTTATTATTTTCATCATTACGGTAATAATAATAACAATAATAATTATAATAATAATAATAATAATAACAATTATAATGATAATGATAATAATTGTAAGTAATAATAATATGATAAAGATAATAATGATAACAATACAAGTGTTGATAATAACAAAAGCAATGCGACTGGTCACATGTAGCGGACTCCCTCGTTTGAACTTGGCGCGTAAACATCCTTCAAACTCGAATTCAAACGAATGACGGATTATTATTGTTTTATTGTTATTGTTATCATTATTATAAGTAGTAATATCATTATTATGAATCAGTATAGTTATTATCATTGTTGTTATATTATTATTATTAAAATTCTCCTAATAATGATAATATAAAATAATCATAATAATTATTGTTATCTATTATTTTTACTGGTTTTAGTAGTAGTGGTAGTATTAGCAGTGTAATACTCATTGTATTTAGTCAACAAAGTTTTATAATTTTATAAACTTCCTCATGAAAAGTCAATAAGAAAACAAGTAATTCACGGTCCGTTAGTATCAGTAAAAAGAAGAGCAAGACAGTCGATTAAGATATTGGCTGCACAATGATGATGGTAAGAAATGTTGATGAATTTATAAAGTTATGATTGAATATGATATAATGTACGATTATAAAGATGAGTTTGGAAGGATATGAATTCAATAAAAAAGTATCTATAATACCAGGCATATACCAGGCTCTGAATACCTTAGATTTTTTTTTGTAACATTTTGGCTATTGAATTCGAATTCTTTTTATCTTTTAAAAGTTCATTCATATCTTATTCTCTCTTTTCTCACTTTTCGTTTTAGTTTTAATGTATTCCCCTATTTTTTCCTTTTCTTTTTTAAGATTATCAACATGAAAGCGATCTTAACGCATCTGACTACTAAAGCGGGAGAAACTTTTACCTTATCGATATTCATCAGAACGATAATTTCTGAAACGTAATACTTAGAGTACATACATAGATAATAATAACACGAAAGCATACGGCCAATTCATGATTTATAATACATGAATATAAATGGAGACGGATAGATAAACACACCGGGTAAATAAACAGTTAGCGAAGTCAAATTACGTATGTATATCAAATTAGGGTCTTTTATAATTATGTTTATTTCTGTGTTTGTTTATTCACAAAATGGCCAAATGAAATATCAATGAAAATGATGAGGTCTAATCTGATAAGTGTCAGTCATTCGAAGATCTGATTGGTTGAGGACGATTTTCTGTTTATTTCTAGTCTGTCTGTAATAGTTTTTCTTTCTGTATGTTTGTTACTGTTTCTCTGTTTGTTTGTTTATCTTTTCTGTGTGTGTGTCTCTCTCCTCCTCACCTGTCTGTCTCACAGTTTTTTTACTGTCCGTTTGTTACTCTTTCTCTGCCTATTTGTCTCTCTCTCTCTCTTTCTCTCCCTCTCTCTCTCTCTCTTTCTCCCATCTAACTGTCTGTCTCTCATAGTTTTTTCTCTGTCCGTTTGTTATTCTTTCTCTCTGTTTGTCTATCTTTCTGACTATGTGTGTCTCTCTCTCTCCCTCACGTAACTGTCTGTCTTTCCCAGATCTTTATGCGCCTGGACAACAGAGTTCGTCCATGTATTATGAGCATTATTTAAGTACATGTCAATGTCCTCATTCCTCATACTGCTGTCAGACAATTTTGCTGACCATATCTCATCACTGTGAATTTTGATTAGCTGTTGTTGTTATTGCTGTTATTGTTTATCCATCTTTTATATATCAGTTTGTGAAGGCTCATATTACGTAATTTGATGATTCTAGAATTTCATGATATTAAATAGAATCACAAAGTGCAGACAAAGGGTCATGTAAATCAAGGCAACACACAGAGCTTCCCCCTTCCCGGAGGTTAGATTCCTTGACAGCTTCGGGGCGCGATGTCAAGGGCTGTTGGCCGTATGGGAAACTCGAGGGCCACGTTTTTCCTTTGTATATCCGTGTGCACAATATCTGTATGGAATTTATCGTTTTTATTTTTAACTTATTTGTTGTTTATTGTGGATGGACCGGCGCTGGGGATGGTGAAGTAGATTATCGTGTAGCGAGTGTTAATAGGTCAGTTTGTGACAGGAAAG